AGGAATTAGGGCTTCCACGGGATAGGAAAGCTAGCGAAGGATTTGCTGTCGTCCATGGGGGCTGCCTTTCCTGGCTTTCTCTTTTATGTCTAAAGCACCAGGTTTTATGTCAGAAGCACCAGGAGTTGAGCTTGGATCTTAAAAAGAAGCAGGGAGAATCAGAGGGTTATTCACCCACGGAGCCTCAGACTTGATCCAAGCTGAGCTTTTGTGTGTGCTGGGTTGGCTAGCCTGAGGAGCCCAGAGGGAACTACTGGAGGATGTCCTTCTATGTGCCCTTGGGCATGTGACCTGCATGCCTACGGTTTCAGTGTTCTGACCCCCACACAGGCAGTAACACAGATTATAATACTAAACATCAGCAGAGCGTTTTTTGCTGTGCAGATCAGTAGAAAATCTGAATTACTCAGATAGCCCATGTGACCGACAGTCATGCTAAATGCCTCCTAACCCTTGGCTCCCTCCATCCTTGCAGTAACTGTGGTTGTCATCATTGTCCCCATTTTATGGAAGAAGAAATGAAAAGTGAGTGATTTATCTAAAGTCATAAACTCAGTGACAGAGTGAGGGCTGGACCCGGGCTTAGCCGCCTCTGTTCTGCTGTGGGTAGTGGGAAGCTTCTCCTGGGATTATGCATGTGAGGCAGCTGCCCTGTGGTTAGAGGGCAGTAAATTAGCCAGTGTGATGTCCTAGTGGCTGCTCATAGTACCCCACTCTGTGTCCCAGGAGGCAGGGCCCGTACCCAGCTTGTTTTCCAGGGCCACATGTCACTGGCCCTGAGGGAATGGTTAGCCATCGTTGATGGATACCACGATAAAGCAAAACGGAGCTCTCAGACGCGAGACACAGCCCCCCTTACACGTACGTGCTCTGCTGACATTTCGGGGCCTGTGTGCAGAAATACTGAGCACCCACAGTTTTCAGTCCTTCCCCTCAGCTTTCCCTTCACACAAACTGAATTCCTTTTCTTTTAAGATAGGTTTTTGCAGGACCAGCAGTTGGTGTAATGGCTGTGTTGCTGGACTCCCATGTAGTTGACTGCGGTTCGAGTCCTGGACTCGGTGGCTTAAACTCACGTTGGGCACATGTGCGTGCATGCCCAAGATCCCGAGAGGAGAATGGAGGAGAAGGGAGTGTGGCGTGGCCATCCCCCCTAGGGATGATTTCTCACTTTCTGTCTCTCTGTCTCTCTCTGTCTGTCTGGTGAGTGCACACGCTCTATAGCAAAAACCTCTCAAAAAGATAGATTTTTGCTATAGGGCACATGCTCTTGCCAGAGTGACAGAGAGCAACAGAGAGACAGAAAGCGAGAAATCGTCCCCCCAGGGAGGCGGCCACACCACACTCCCTTCTCCATTCTCCTCTAGGGATTTTGGGCCTGCTCACGTGTGCCGGCCTGAGTTTAAGCCACTGGGTCCAGGACTCGAACCGTGGTCATGGTCGACTACATGGGAGTCTAGCCACGTAACTATTCCACCACCTGCTGGTCCCAAAACATACATACATTTATTTATTTATTTTATTTGTTGTTATTTTAATTTGACAAGGGAAGGAGAGAGGAGAGAGAGAAAAAGTGAGAGAGCAAGCCACCAGGTCTGAGACTCAAACCGTGGTTGGCCATGTAGGAGTTCAACACCTTAACCACCATGCCCCCTGCTAGCCCTGTCATCATTTTTTTTTTTTTTTAATCAGAGAGAGACAGAGAAACCAAACTGCTAGATCTGGGACTTGAACCTCAGTTGGCCTTGTGGGAGCCCAGCACCCCAACCACCACCATGCCATAACACCCTAAACTGACTCTTCACCGTGGTTCAAAAACAAAATGTTAGTAAACCTTGAACATTTAAAAAAATTATTTATTTAAAAAAATTTACTGTTTAAGTTTGCTATAGGGCATGTGTGCTCACCAGAGAGAGACAGAGAAAGAGGGAGCAAGTGAGAAAGGGAGCCACCAGGGCCAGGACTTGAACCATAGTTGGCTATGTGGGAGTCCAGCACCTTAACAACCATGCCACCTGCTGGCCCCCACCTTGAACTTTCTATGTGGGCACACTTGTACAGTGCTGATAGGCGGATACGCTCACAGCTCTCTGGAGGGAAGCTTGTCAGTACGTATTCTGAGCCTTCAAAGCATACATTTTGACCTAGTCATTTTTCTTTTGATCAAAGATATAGTCAGACTTACATTCCAAAATGTTCCCCGCTGCCTTATTTGTCATGGCAGAACACACACACACACAGTCTGGCGTGATTGTCAGGCTGCTGGGTCCGGAGCTAGAACTGTGCCACCAGGTATGTGGGATCCAGCGCGTAACCTCCATGCCTGCCGGCCGCGCCCGTTTGTAATGGCCGTGTGATACAGCAGTACACCGCGGCATCCATCTTGCGTCTGCCTGTGGTCTCCTTGGATTACACTTAGCCTCCTGTCACTGTCAGCGGTGCTACTGGGACTGTCTTCCTTGTCTTTGCTCGCTATTTTGGCTAGTAGGATAAATGAAGAGATGGCCCTTTTGAATATTGTTATTTGTCTTATTTAAACGGTCGGCGACATGTGTGTAGTTGGGTGTGGACATCGGTGATCTGGGCTTGCTTCTGGGAGGCCGAATAGTGTAGTAACCAAGAACAGGGGTCAGGATACGATGTCGGTGGGCCAGGGTTGTTTCGTACGGCCCTTGAGCTGAAAATTTAAAAACAGAAAGCAAACTGGTCTGACCTCATAGCCTAGCGGTTCCAGAGCTGGGTCGCACGTGGCTCAACTGCAGTGTGAACACAGGCCTTGGCTTGAAAAACACACTAGGTGCATGTGTGTGTGGGCCCCAAATCCGAACAGGATGGAGGAATGGAGGAAAAGGGATTGCAGCATGACTACACCCCACGGGGGGGAAACTCCCTCCCTCCCTGTCTGTCTCTCTTGTAAGCACGCGTGCCCTCTGGGGGAGACGACAGAGATCGACGTGACTCATAACGTCTAGGAATATTTGCTCCCTGGTCCTTTGAAAAGTTACCGATGCCAGTCAGAGCAAGGCTGTGCACCAGGCCAGTCTCACCGGGTCCCCCACTTGGTGGCCGCGTCCCCTAGTTACTTAAGCTCCTCTCTGTGAGAGGAGGTAGGGCGAGTACCGGAGGCTTGTCAGCCACAGGCCTTCTTCCCTCTGGGCGGTAGGAACTTCAGTCTGGTTGTTCTTGAGACTCAAGCGTGGGCCCGCCTACACCATCCTGCTCCTGGGCAGTGAGGCCATGACCTGGCCCCTGCCATCCAGCTGGAAGGACCAGGCACATACCAAAGGCGCTCAAACAACGTACACTCTGCAGCTTAAAACAGCGCAGGACTAGTGCCAACCCAGGGCACTTGGCCTCAGCGGGAACGATGGGAAAAAATGAAAGACAAGGGTCGGAATTTAGAACCTCGAGCCCTGTCATTGTCATGTGACTATTTTAAATGTTAGCTTCTAACTGCCTCTCCCTCTTTGAACTGCCCACGTTAGGGAGACTGTGGCTGGCCAAGGGAGGGGACAGTAGCGACGTGTGGTTGACCCCAGCTGTGCCTGTAGCCTAGCGTTGCCGAAGACATGAGGGTCAGGGCTTCTGAGCAGCAGAGGGTCCTTGAGGGGCTCGAGGATGATCTGAGGGGCCCAGTGGCATGTGTGCAAGGCCTGGACATTCCCACACAGAGGCCGACAGGCCACATAGCCTGAGGGGACAATAGAACGAGCGCCCTTCACCCCCGTGACCCTCTCCTCAGACTCTTGAAGGTCCCTTTCAGGGGATCACAGAGGTAGGGACTAGTGATGGGCCGGCACCCCCAGGGGTTCACTCCATTGGTGAACACTCCAGGCTTTTCCAGCTGCCCTAGGAGTGACATGTTGTTATTGTGGACTGAGGGGTGTGGCTAGCCTGCTAAAAGCCTGATGTCCAGACAGTCACCAGTCTCCAGTCGGTGCTAAGAGACGTGAAAATAAACTTCATGCAGCACTCTGGTTTGTCCCCAGGTTCCTGGCCCAAGGCTTCTGCTCATTCCAGCCCACTGCAGCCCAGCACCGGCAGCCGTCCACGGAGAATGTGAGTGCTGGCCGCTTCCTGCGGGCAGCGCTGGACCCAGAGGTAGGCCCACAGCCTCTTTCCTAAGGTGGAGGGAGTAGTGTGGCATTTTCTCTGTAGGCAAAATAATGGATTTGTGACTATGGGCTTGGTTTCTCTTTCCAAGTCCTTATCTCTTAGAAAAAATACACAGATCAAATGTGATTTCATGTGTGTCTGGGATTTGCTATAAAAGCAAGAGGGAGGAGGAGGTGGAGGCAAAGCCAGACTGGCCATGTGCTGCTGACGGGAAGCCGGCCCCTTGATGTGCGTTATAGCGCTCCGCCCGATGGCGCATGTTTGGGTTTCTGCTGGGAAGAGAGAGCAAGCCAGCAGGACCTTAATAGTCATGAAGGAACCTCGTTTCCAGCTCTGTGACCGGGGCCGGTCCGCTGCCTCAGAGATCGCTGGGGGAGTTTTAATGAAATGACGCTTGGATGGCATGAAGGCTAGTTCCTGACACCTGATCAGCACCGGTAGCTCTGTTCTGGCTGAGCGTCGGGCTGGCAGTCCCCTGGCTGGAGGGGAGGAGCAGGGGTGAGGGGACAGGGTGGTGGCCCACCTCCTGGATTGGGTAGAAGCAGCCTCTACCTTGGATGAGACCTCTCTCAGCTCTCTTTACACCTGTGGACCTTCCTTAGCAGCAGCTTGGAGCTAGAACCAGCAGTCCTATTCTGGACATGGTTCTGCTAATGCAGCTGAAGCATTTATTTATTTTAAAAGAATTATTTATCTTATTTGCTATTATTGTTCTTCAGTTTGATCAAGGAGAAACAGAGAGAGAGGGGGAGAGGGGGAGAAAGCAAGCCTCCAGGTCTGGGACTTGAACCACTTCCAGCCATGGAGGAGTCCAGCCAGCACTTTCACCACCACCCCCCAGCCAGCCCCTAGTTCTTTATTTTTAAATGTTTGCTTTTGAAATGATTATAGCTTCACAGGAAATTGCAAAAACTGGGTCCCACGTACCCCAGAGGAAACACATGTTTGATGTGTCCATGGTCCTACCAGTGACATCAGTACGGTCCACAGAGCTTGTTCAGGTTTGACCGATTCCGTGGACTTTCGTGCGTGAGAGTCGTGCATGTGTGTCAGCTGGGTGCAGTTTAATACACGCGTGGATCTGTGTGGCACCACCACAGTCAGGTGCAGAGCTGTCTGACAGCACCAGGGAGCTCCCCGAGTGATGCATATATTTTTCAAAACAGAACTCTTGCTCGTTTCTCCCCCGTAATTTAAAAGGAAATTATGTGCAGAAGAACGTGGGGAAGGATGTTTGACATGGTGTAATGCACGGATTCTTCCCTTCATACGTGTGGCTCTCGTATCATCTGCACTTTGTTTTATATGAGCATGTATCATGTAAACAAAAGCAAGGGACCAGTAGGTGGTATGGGGGTTAAGGTACTGGACTTCCATATGACTGACTGAGGTTCAAGTCCTGAACCTGGTGGCTTGAAAATCATACCAGTCATGTGTGCTTGCATCCCGAAATCCCAAGAGGAGAATGGAAGACAAGGGATTGCGGCGTGGCCATCCGTCCCGGGGTGGTGGTGGTGGTGGTGGTGGTGGTGGTGGTGGTAGTGGTAATTTCTCACTTTCCCTCTGTCTGTCTCTCTTTTTCTCTCTCCGGTGAGTACACACATCCTATGGCCAAACATAAAAAAGAAAAAAATGGCAACAAAACTGGTTTTTCCCATTGACTGAAACTCACTACCCAGGCATGAGCTGCCGACGTTTTGGTGAGCTGCCGTCTGCTGGCTCGCCCTTCGCTTTCTCCTTGTTCTCAGGAGACAACTCCTGGAGGTGGTTCCAATTGGCCTGTTTGTGTGTTAAAGCCTTTCATACCTGGAAATCCTGCCAGGGAGTGAGATAAGTGGCCTCCCAGAGGCTCCTGAGTCGACATAGCTGGCTGGCTCTGCAAAGACCAAAGTCGACCCCAGCCCCCTGCCTTTCCACCTCACCACGTGCTGCACCCTTGGGTGGAGTGATCCTCTGGACATGGCTTTGGCTTCCTAGAAAAGCACAGGTTCTCTGGTGTGCAGTTCCCTGAATGTAGGCAGGACTCTGTCTTCCATACCAGTAATTCCAGTCCTTACCCCTCACCCTTACCGGCCTCCCCATGTGTCCTGCAGGCCTTGTGCCAAGCGGTGGACACACACCATCTCCACGAATCCTGGGAGTAGCCCCCTGGGTGGCGGCGACCTTATCAGCCAAGGAGAATGAGTTCAGAGACTAAGTAGTTTCCCAGGTCCCCAGCTGTGTGTGGCAGAGCCAGGACATGAGGCCCAAGTCACACACTTGGCCATTGCTAATCCAGGTTTCCTTGTGTCTTCACGTAGGTGAGCTCAGACCAGAATGGGGGACTCCAGGGACTTTTGCCCTCACCTTGACTGTATAGGGGAGGTGACCAAAGAGGACCTGCTGCTCAAATCTAAGGTAAGGGGTCAGACCTTGTGGCCAAGGCCCACACTCAGGGCTCCAGGGTTTCAGAAGCAGTGGAAGAACTGGCTCCCAGCAGCCCCCGGCAGGCCTACATTGTAAATGGAAATGCTGGCGTCTGCTGAGGCTGATTGTGCTCGTCCATTAGTTATGGATTCCTCCAGCCCCTTGGGAGCCACCAGTGCTGCCTGGCGTAGCTGTGGGGGGTGCACGGAGCCTTCCCCTGGCAGGGCGTGAGTGCGACTTCAGAGTCCCTGGCTGCTGGGGGTGGGGAGAGAGGCTTTGACGTGGGAGGTAGGCCTCTTCTCTGAATAGGAGGGTGTGTTGTCATCATCTTGTTAAGTTAAAAAGTGTTTGAAAAGGTTAACACCTTAGCATGGCTCAAAAATGAAGCAGTAGGACCGGCCTGTGGCCTTGTTAACCACCAGGAAGTCGAGGCTCACGTGGCAGACTGAGCTGTTCAGTCCCAGCCCCGGCAACTTGAAAAACGCCCTGGGACCATATATATGTGTGTGCGTGCTTGGAATCCGTGCAAGATGGAGAGGTGGAGGAGAAGGGGCAGGCCCCATGAGGGGTGGCGGCTCTGGCCTACTCCTGCTCTCTCTGCCTCTCTCTGGCGAGCACATGTATACTCAGGCAAAGTGAAAAAAAAAAAAAAAAGGCCCAAAATAAAACAATATGAGAAGCTGAATGTCAAAAAGTCCCTTCCGATCCTGTTGCCCACCCCATCCCAGCCTGGGGCAGCTACTTACGTGGTTTCTTCGTATCTTCTGGAGTTTCTTACTGTGAATACAAGCAGATATACTTCCTTTCATTTCCCCCTTCTCACCTATGAGGTGGCACACCGCAGTCGCTGCCTTGTGACTCACTTTACTTACAGAAGGAGAGGTCTTAGAGCTGTGCCCACAGAGGCGTCCCTCTCCTCCTGAACCCGCCAGGGTTCAGTCATGGGCCCTACCTGACGACCGCAATCCCAGCGTCCTCCCCAAGGCTCCACCTTTCCACACCACCCTCTTAACCCATCACAGCCAATTTCATCACGTGAATTTTGGGGGACACGCTGAAACCATAGTGCAGCATATGATTTAAAAAATGCCAGCAGTGATGCGTGAAGCCCCTGACGGGAGCCTGGTCTGGATGGTAGGCTGGGGAGGCCTTTCCCAGCAAGGCTTTGAGGCTGAGGACTTCAGGGCGAGTGAGCGTCCCTGGGGAACCAGGTATGGGCATTTCCAGGCTGGAGCAGTGCCTGCGTCCAGCCTCTGCAGTAGCTCACATGGCTTTCTCTCTGACTCACACAGGGAACCTGTCAGTCATGTGGTGTCAGCGGACCGAACCTGTGGGCCTGTCTCCAGGTAAAGGGTCCTGTGGTCAATGGGGGCTTGGAGCTGGCCCAGACTCTGGGCTGGGAATGTCCATTCCTAGTGGGCACCACCAGAATCCTTGGCAGGGCCCAGGGCTCCAGGACTGTCCATTAAAAATGACAGAAGAGGGGCTAGTAGGTGGCATGGTGGTTAAAACACTGGACTCCCACATGTCTGACCATGGTTCAAGTCCTGAGCTTGGTGGCTTGCTTTCTCACTTTCCCTCTTTGTCTCTCTGGTGAGTGCGTGTACCCTATAGCAAATTAAAAATCGATTAATTAATTAAATTTTAGAAAGGCATACAATGATTAAGTATAAATAAAAAATTATAAAACTCTTTAAAAATGACAAACAAATAAAAAACCAAGAGGAGAGAAGCAGGTTGGCCAAGACTACTGGGCCTTTTTCTTTTTCTTTTTTTTTTTTTAAGAATTATTTTAGGGACCAACAGGTTGCGTGGTAGTTAAGGCGCTGGACACTCCCACATGGCTGACCATGGTTTGAGTCCCAGACCTGGTGGCTTGCTTTCTCACTTTCTCTCTCTCTCCCTCTCTCTCTCTGTGTCTCTCTCTGGTCAAACTGAAATAAAATGAATAAATTAAATTAAAAAAGAATTATTTTATTTAACTTTATTTATTATTATTATTATTATTATTTTCCATTTGAGCAAAGAGAAAAAGGGAGAAAGGGAAATTAAGAAAGTAAGCCACCAGGTCTGGGACTTGAACCATGGTTGGCCATATGGGAGTCCAGCGCCTTTAACCACCATACCACCTGCTGGTTCCCAAGATTGGGCCTTCATGGAAGACAAAATCCAACACAGACATAGAAGACAAAGAGACAATGTGTGGCGGTTGATGGGGCTTGAGCTTGGTTCTCTACTGAGGAGCAGCTCCCTGGGCCTTCACTGGTTGCTCTTACCATGAAGAGAAAGGAGACATGGCCACGCATGACCATTCTCTCTGGGTGGTCGAGTTATGGGTGATTCTTGTTTCTCTGTTCCTTTGTAGTTTCAGGTTTCCTGCAAATATGTTTTGTATTTTATAATCATACTAAAATGACTTATTAATACTTAAAATGTCTCTTTTTTTGAGAGAGAGATTTTTGCTCTAGGGTGGGTGAACTCGTTGGAGAGAGAGAAACAGAAAGCAAGAAATCACCCACCCGGTGAGGATGGCCACTCTGCATTCCCTTCTACTCCATTCTCCTATTGGGATTTTGGGAATGCATGCACACACACCCCGCATGAATTTTAAGCCGTCAGGTCCAGGACTTGAACTGTAGTCGACCATGTGGGAGTTCAGTGCCTTAACCACTATGCCACCTGCTGGCCTCCTTAAAAGATAAGGAAATCCACAGAAACACAAGACACAGACTTGGGGGTCTGGGCTTCCTGTCAGTGTTTGTAGGAGACAAGAGGCTTTGATGGGGCTCTGGCCTCTTCTCCATGGGGCTGTCACTCAGCATGAAGTCGATTGCAAGCCACTGTCTGGGTAGTGTGGACCTGGCACTACCCCAGGGGAGCCCACGGACCTCTGGAGAGCCAGGTTCGGGACCTTTTGCAGGAAGTGATGCATGCTTTATGGCTCAGCCACAAGGCCCTTTCTCAAAAGGTCCTCAGCCCTCAGCAGCCTGTGCAGTGGAGATTGCGAGTGGGTGAGGCACTAGGTGCTGGGGACTTTGGGAGATTAGGGCAGGAAGGTGCAGGGCAGACGCAGGGTTGTCAGGGACACGTGGGCCCCGGCTGCCTCCACTCCTTGTTTGAACACCCAGTTAGCATCCCCACTAGAAATGGTATGGGGGCCAGCAGATGGTGTGGTGGTCAAGGCACTGGATCCCACATGGCTGACTCCATGGTTTGAGTCCCGGATATGACCCAGAATCTGGGGAGAATGGAGGAGAGGAGCCTGTGGTGTGGCTATCCCTCCTGGGGGGTAAGTTCTCCCGTCTGTGTGTGTAAATCTCTCCAGCAAGCGTATGTGCCCTATGACAAAAATCTAAAAAGAAGAAAGAGAGAGAGAGAGAGGAAAGAAAGAAAGAAAGAAAGAAAGAAAGAAAGAAAGAAAGAAAGAAAGAAAGAAAGAAAGGAAGAGAAAGAGAAAGAAAAAAAGAAAAAGAAAAAGGAAAAAAGAAAAGGGGAGGGGAGAGGGGGAAGGAAGAGGAGAGGAGGAGGAAGGAGGAAAGAAAGAAAGGAAGGAAGGAAGGAAGGAAGGGGGGGAGAGAGAGAGAAAGAAAGGTTATAGCCCGGGGTCCCAGTAACTGACCCATCAGGAAGCAGGGTTTTGGTAGAAGTGATCTGGAGTCCAGTTGCCAGGCCATCGCTGTGAGCCTGCCTGGGCTCTTACTGAGCAGTAGCCTGCCGGGCGACGCCGATGTGGCCGTTCCTGCTAGACACCAAGTTCAGGTGATCCTTCCAGGTGGTGGAGCCTCCCATCCTCGCGGGATCCGTTGGGTAGAGAAGAGAGTCGCCGCCTTCGGGGTGGAGTCAGAGACTCACTGTGTCGACACCGTCCTCCTGGCCAGCCCTGACCCCTCTCCTTCCCTCTCTCCCCAGGCCGCCTGCCCCTATGTTGGCTGCGGAGAATCCTTTGCTGACCACAGCACCCTTCATGCACAGGTGAGCGGTGCCCGTGGGCGTGGACTCTGCAGTCAGACCGCCTGAGGAGCAAACCCCAGTTCCAGCTACTTCCTGGCTCCATCTACCGGCTGGGGCTATAAAATGGGGACAGTCATAGCAGGGTTTCTGCCAAGAAGCAGGAGAGAGTGCGGTGAAGGCACTTGGCACGCTGCCTGTTTGACCATGGCAGCCCTCGGGGTTTCTGGCTGGAGAGTGCTCAGAAGCCGGCCTTCCACCTGTGTCCTGGGGCCTCTTCCTGAGGCTGGAGAGTGGGCACAGCGCAGCTGCAGGCATGGGGCACCTGGCAGGCTGTGTATCCTCGACCTTTTTCTGGCTTGTACCCTCTAGGCAAAAAAGCACAACCTGACGGTGAACCTGACCACGTTCCGGGTGTGGTGTTACGCCTGTGAGAAGGAGGTGTTCCTGGAGCAGCGGCCGGCGGCCCACCTGCCTGGCTCATCGGCCAAGTTCTCCGAGCAGGTAACCGTGCAGGGGCGTCAGCTGATTGTTGGGGACATAGTGGAGCGTGGTGCAGTGTGGTCTGAGCATCAGCTGGTCGGCAGGTCCCAGACGAGGGCAGTGTGTCCTCAGATACCCGCCGAGTCAGCTGTGTGCCGAGGCCTGTGGGGGCCGTGAGGGTGCAGAGAGCACCGGGAGTAGGGGTAGGGCCTCCCTCAGGGAATGTGCAGGGCCTGGTCATGGGAGGGCATTGTTACATGGTAGCTGAGGTCTCACAGGAGGCCGGGTCTGGTCCCTGGCCCAGCCTAAAACAGGCTGCGTTTTGCGGGGCTGGCCCACTGGGAGCCTGGCAGGAGGGTCACCACGATGGGAGACCCTGTCAGAAATACCTTCTCTCCTTCCCATGCGCTCACTTGCTCTCTCACTGAAAAATAATAATAATAAAGAGCTTGTGGGCTGTGGGGCAGCCCAGGGCCCAGGGCTAGTGAAGAGCCTTCCAGGCCTTATGGAGAGGGTGTCACTGTCACATGGTCACAGTTGGTCCCTGGCAATCCCAGGCTAAGACATATCCTAAGGGAGTCACTCCAGGGGACACCCCAGAACCACCTTGGTCATCTGTCACCTGGAGAATAGCCCTCAGCAGCAGGGGGCTGTGCAACTGCCACAGCAGGTGAGGGGACAAAGGCCTGCCGTGGGGTGGTCAGTAACCCTACTGCCTGCCGCCTGCTAGGAGGGAGCCCCGGTGCACAACCACAGTCCGTAGTCACGGAACAAGACTGAGAAGCCTTTGTCGTTGCACCTGTGAGCGCGACTGATGGTCATGAACACTTAGCGAAGTCTCTGGAACGGTGCACCCAGGATGGGTCCGTTGTATCACAGAGATGCTGGAGACAGGTGAAGTTAGGACAGCACCGGTTTATATGGCTTAGTGACCTCCGGTGGCTGGGAAAGTCCTCAGGGGTAGGGCTGACCTGACCTGGCCGGCCTACAGCGTGGCCCACAGGCAGGCGTGTGCAGTGTGGGGAAGAGCATGGAGGCACTCTGTTGTTTAAAGTAACCCCCTCTCGGGAGAACAATCCCCTTCTCACAAGACTTAGAACACGCTCAGTTCTCTCGCAGCATGATGCTAGTTTGTCCATGAGACCAGGCCCTCCGTGAGCCGGTCACCACCGTCCAGCCACCACCCTCTAAGACCAGAACCCCCCCCAC